CACTTGTTCTCGGATGAAGTGAAACCGAACATCAATATGCTTGCTTCTCTCATGATTGACCGGGTTCTTTGCCAATTCAATGGACGACTTGTTATCAAGTCGAATCACAGTCCCTTTTTCTTGCTTCAACTCCAACTTGCTTAGAAGGTTTCTAAGTCAAACGGCATGACAGACACTCCAGGATGCTGCAACGTACTCGGCTTCACAAGTTGACAACGTTACAATGGGCTGCTTTTTTTGAAAGCCAGGTGAATGCTGTGTTTCCCATGAAGAATACATATCCAGACGTGCTTTTCCGGTCATCAACATCTCCACACCAGTCACTATTTGAGTAGCCTACTAGTCGATAATCATCCATCCTAGTATACATTAGGCCAAGTGGCACTGTTCCTCTCACATACCTTAGAATTCTCTTTAGTGCCTTCCAATGAGTATACCTTGGCTCCTCCATATATCGACTTGCTATTCCAACACTTAGCATTAAATCTGGTCTGGTATTTGTAAGATACCTAAGACTTCCAATCAGACTTCGGTATTTGCTCGCATTAACTCAGTCTCCATCTGCATACTTATAAAGTTTTGTACGAGGTTCCATAGGGGTAGAAACCGGGTTGCAACTTGTCATCTTAAACTTCTTTAAGATATCCTCAGCATACATTTCCTGTGACACAAAGATGACATTCTTTCCTTGAACAACTTCTAAACCAATGAAATACTTCATAAGACTCAAGTCAGTCATCTCAAACTCCTTCTTCATCACTTCTTTAAACTCTTCAATCAGCTCGGCATTATTTCCCATGAAGATAAGGTCATCAACATATAGGGCAACAAACATCACATCTTCTCCTTTCTTCTTTATGTATAGAGCATGTTCATAAGGACACTGCTTATATCCATTCCTTTTGAAGTAAGTGTCAATTCTTTCATTCCATGCTCGCGGAGCTTGTTTCAAGCCATAAAGTGCCTTCTTCAATCTCAGCACTTTCTTCTCTTTGCCTCTTCGCATGTATCTGAGTGGTTACTTCACGTCCATCTGCAAGATTGTCCATCTATGTTGAGCTGCTAAGGAAATCAGCAGCCTAATTGTTTCCATTCTCGTCACTGGAGCGAATACTTCGTCATAGTCTATTCCTTCCTTCTGCTTGTACCCCTTCACTACGAGTCGAGTTTTATATCGCTCAACTTCTCCTTCAGCATTTGTCTTCTTCATATATACCCACTTTACGTCGATAGGTCGTGCTCCTTTGGGCAAATCAGTCAGCTCCCATGTGTTATTGCGTTCTATTGCCCCGATCTCCTCGTCCATTGCCTTTCTCCACCTTTTCTCCTGCACGGCCTCTTCAAAACTTAAGTCTTCTGAATCTGCCAAGAGACATACAACATGCACTTCGTTAGTGGAGTTGTATATATCTTGTAAAATTCGCGCTCTAGGTTGTAGAGGTTCATCTTCTTCATCAGAAGTTTCATGATCTCTCACAGTATGTGGTGTATCAACTTCCGAGCTTCTACTTCCTATGGACTCCTTCTCCGAGTTGTTCCAACTCCACTCACTTTCTTCATCAATTTGAACATCTCGGCTCATGATGACCTTCTTAGTTATTGGGTTAAACAACCTGTACGCCTTGGTTTTTTCATCATACCCAATAAACACGTACTTTCTACTTCTATCTTCGAGTTTGGTCCTCTGTTGAGCTAGAACATGACCATAAGCTATGCTACCGAACACTTTAAGGTGAGACACACTCGATTTTCTTCCACTCCAGACTTCTTGCGGTGTTTTCTCGTTCAGATTAGCATGTGGACATCTATTTTGCACATAGATGACACATTGCACTGCTTCTGCCCAGAACTCCTTTGGCACGTTTTTTCTTCTCAATATTGTTCGAACCATGTCAAGAATGGTTCGATTCTTCCTCTCGGCAACTCCGTTTTTTTGGGGTGAGTATGGTGCTGTCAGAAATCTCCTTATCCCTTGCTCCTCGCAATACTTCATGAGTTCGGATGAAATGAACTCGCCTCCTCGATCAGACCTAACAGATTTGATAGGCATGTCAGTCTCTTTCTCAACCATTGCTTTAAATCTCTTGAACACCTCAAACACCTCGGATTTCTCCTTCAAAAAATATACCAAGGTTTTTCTTGAAAATCTTCTATAAAAGAAATGAAATACCTTTTCCCACTGAAGGACTCAGGGGTAACCGGTCCACAAATATCTGTGTGAATCAATCCGAGTTGTTCCTTTGCACGGTACTCAGTCGTCCTCGGAAATGAGGTCATCGGATGCTTCCCGAGCACACACTCTTCACAAAATTTCTTTTCAAATTCCATAGACGGGAGTCCTCACACTATCTCTTTCTTTACCAACTTGGTCAGCCCGTCAAAATGCAAGTGGTCAAACCAAAAGTGTCACATCATTGCTTCATCCTTCACGTCAAGTTTCAAGCACCTCTCTTGGACTATCTTCAAGTCCAACTTGTACATTCTGTTCTTCTTCATTTCTACTCGAGCAATCAAACGATTCGACTTGTCCTTCAGGTATAGTACTCGATCTTTCATCAGAACCGAGTAGCCTTTCTCCATCAGCTGGCTCATGCTCAATATGTTGCTTTTGAGATCGGGTACATAGTACACGTCTCTGATTTCTCCAACTCGGCTATTCTTCTGCAGGTACCAGATTGTATCTCTGCCTTTTACTGCCACCTTTGATGCATCTCCAAATGACACGTGTCCGGCCTCAACTTTAGTGAGCTCCTTAAAAAGGTTCTTGTCCCCGCACATGTGGTTTCTTGCTCCTGTATCAAGATACCAAACCGAGTTGTCAAAACAGCTCGGACTTAGCTCGACATCTGAACTTCTCGACATCATCAATACTCCCTCTTCCTCAGTGTCCTCAGAGAGGAGGTTTGTCTCCTTCTTCCTCTCAGATCGGCAGTCCTTCGCGAAATGTCCAACCTTCCCACAGTTATAACATTTGATACCTGAATAGCAGTCCTTAGCAAAATGACCATACTTCCCACATTTGAAGCACTCAACTCCGGAATTGCTTGACTGACCACATCGACCTCTACCGTCACGACCTCTACCTTGTCTTCGGCCACGCCAGTTTTGTTGACTGACTTGATCCTTGCCTCTTTCATATCCTTCTCTGCCTCTACCACCTCGGCCTTGAGTGTTTTGAGCATAAGGAACCTTCTTCTCCTTTAAGGTTGCCTTTGCTTGGAGTGTTTGATCAAGGGACTCCTCTTTCTTCTTTCTTCTTCCTTCTTCGCTGCTCATGCGCTTCAAGCGACCCGGCAAGCTCTTCCATCGAGAGCAGTGACAAGACCTTAGACTCTTCTATTGCACAAATGATATTCTCAAAGTCGTCAGTTAATGACCTTAAGATTTTCTCCACCACTCGACAAGTGGGCAGCGTCTCTCCATTTCTTCTGAGTTGATTCACCACGGTTTCAACACGGGAGATGTACTCGGCAACCCCTTCGACCTCTTTCATCCTCATGCTTTCAAGCTCGCCTCTAAGAGTTTGAAGCCTGACTTGCTTCACGCGATTATCCCCTTTATATGCCTTCTCCAGAATATCCCATGCTTCTTTTGAAGATTTAGCATTTGCTATCTTCTCAAAGCCGGACTCATCAACAGCTCGGTACAGTACGTACAAAGTCGTTTTGTCCTTTACTCGTGTTGCTCTCAATGCAGCAAGCTGAACAATCGTCTGCTCTTCAATATTCTCTGCTTCTTGGTGCCCATTTTCGACCACATCCCATACTTCTTAGGAACCAAGGAGAGCCTTCATTTGCAGGCTCCAGTTATCATAGCTTACGTCTTTTGATAACTTTGGCAGGGGCATGCTGTTAGCTAAGTTGGTCATCTCGAACAAACTCTCTAACTCTCAAACACTCTCTCTAACGCACTCAGACACTCAGGCTCTCAAGCTCTGATGTCAATTTGTTGACAAACAAGTATCTAAATAAAACACTCTGTATATTATCACTTGATGTGTTTGCAATGAGTGATACATGTTCAATTTATAGGCCTTTGGATATGGTCTCTCAACTACATGCATTTAATACAACTACTACCTTTCAACTACATATATTCAATACAACCACTATCTTTCAACTACATACTACTACCTCTCAACTACTACTTCTATAATCACTACCTTTCAACCACATGCATTTAAGGTTTACCTAACATTATATGCCACAAATTCTGAAGAATCCGAGCCAATTGCTACTACATCACACATGAATAATATGAATGTCTTTACTTTAATTGCGTGCAACTCGAGATCAGAAAGTTTTGTGAAAACACTTTTAATTCAATTGGGAACGAGTTGGGAAATCACCCATATTCTGAAACAGAGAATTTTACAGGTTTCTTTCTATCTCTTCCTCTCTTAAATGCATTCAATTGTGATATTTTAAGGAAGTATATATTTTTCATAAATTCTGGTTTGAAAATTTTCTTATTTTCTGCAGTTGAATTATTTTTAAACGGAAGTGTACTGTATTATACGCTGTCAACTTAAAACTTCAAAAATATGAAGATGAGATTCACATTTTTTTTTGTAATGCCATCATATATTCTGCAATGAAAAGTTATTATCTTTCAGCTTAGCTTAAATTCATCTGTAAAAGAAATAAAATAATGAAATGATATTCTTATGCATAACTTCAAATCTTTTTAACAATTTACTTCTTTCCTGCAAGTTATAGTGGTTTTAGAAGTTTTTTGGGTAAAAGATGACATTGATGATAAAATGAATTATTATCTTGTTATAATATCATAAGTTGTTGAGGTTTATCATAAGATAGTATTAATGCAGTGATGATAAACTTTTCAGCATATATATTTTTATTTTTACAGAATATGACTACAAGTGATGGCAGTGATTGTTTGCTCCCTGGTGATATTATCCAGATTTGTTAACCTTCAGTAGCAAAGGCTCTTCTGTGACTTTTGAAATCCCTCAAGTGAATGGACGTAACCTGAAGACAATGATGTGCCATATTGATTATTCTTCCCCTGACAATATAACATCAGATTGCCTGAACAATTTATTGGTGATAAATCACACAAAGACCACCATTCAGCTTTATAAGAGAAATGCATTATCATCGTTTGAAGATGAGGAGTGGCAGAGGGTACTATCAAACATAGACAGTGGAAACAGGGTTCAAATTGTGGTTGCTTTCTGGAGCAGATTAACTGTTAACGATACAACAATTTATCTTATATATGAGCCAATTGATGAAAAAATGGAGGATTACCATTCACCAAATAACAATGTAGATGTTCCTAGTTATGAATCTTCAAGTTCTGTCATGTCTATCTCTCGAGTGGAACCCGTGCAGGACTTGAGGTGTGTTTCAGTAAAAAGCTTAACTAAACGCTTAAATAAATTCTTATCATGTAAATACTTTTGTAAAGGAAAATTGGAAAAGAAGAAAAATCAGGTTAAAAGATGGTGAAAGAATGTAAGGTTAAGGTTTATTCTTATGGTGGCTGCAAATTTGTATTGGTGCTATCTTTTTGCTGTGGATTGACCAGAGATAGTTGTGGGAAGGTCCACTTGTTATTGGAACTAGATTTCTGAGGAGTCCAACTTTATACCTATTTGAAATAGAAAAGTTCTTGGATGTATTTGCTGTATATTTGTTAATTTTTATTGAATATTGTAATTATGTTGTTTTTTTATGTGACATATTTTGTTAATTCTATCATTGTTTAAGGATTTGAAATTTAAGGTTGTTGACTTCGTTGGTATGTCATGATACAATCTTAATGTTAAACCTTATGGTTTATGCAGCAAAAAAAATTGTTATAATTATCGATTTGGAATCTAGGATTTAAGATGCAAGATTATTGAGTTCGTTGAAATTTGATATGATACAATCATAATATTAAATCTTATGGTTTAATGAAAAAAATTAAAAAAATAAAATAAAATAAGAAAGATGAAAACCAAACCATGTTAAACATTATGGTAGTGTCCATGATCATATCACACTAACCATTGTAAATGAGCATGATAATATTATAAAAAATATCACATTAGTTTATGATATCATCAAGAACTAAAAAAAAAAAAAAGTAATATATGTTTGAAAGTAGATTAAGTTATTGTTGACATATTTAACTTTTTAATTTGATTGTTAAATGAGTCACTTTTAATATTAACATTACTTTCTGTGTTTGGTCTTTGTTACTGTGTTATTTGTTATATTTTAGTCCTATTATTACCCTATATTTGTTAAATGAGAGGGGCTGCTTCAACATGTAAATTATTATTTTTTATTTATATTTATTTTGATTTTGATTAGAAAATAGCTTGAGTGGTATGAATTTTACTATAAAACCACTGCCTTTAGCCACTTCACTCTCATACTGTTTATGCAGAAACAGCTAGATCGTACAATTTTTTCTTAGCACTTGAACCCACATAATTATCCAAGACTGCATTGAATAAAATTGTACAAGAACAGTTGAATGTTGGAGTAAAGTTGATGAAGAATTTTTCTTTTTTCTTTTCCAAATTGTTATTGACGAAGTGTTAGTCCAACTCATCAATCCATGTTTGATTGCATGTTACCACCAGCGGAAAGTGTAACCTGACAGTATTAAATTTGAAAGTATGAAAAAAAAGAAGCCTCAATAACTTTGTTGAGATTAATAATTGACTATGAAATATCATATTTTGAGTTGACAGAAATTGACGAGCAATAAGAGATGCCAACTTGTTTTATTTGTCTTGTTTTTTGTTGATAGTTTCTGATTTTCAAATCAAGCATACAGAATCCCTTCCACTCTCCTCCTTACCTTCTTTCTCATTAACTTTGTAATTCCACTCTTCTCAGTGACAGTGTCGTTGTTCAGTGTCAAATTCTCATTTCTTCGACCCTTCAGCAAATCTCCTTTGTTCTTGCATGAGATCAATTCTGAGTGAAATATTCTTTTCTGGGTGTGAACAATTCCACTGTCTGTCAGATCAGATGTGTCTCTCCGAAAGTAAGTTTGTTTAACCGTATGTTTACATGAGGTTTAATAGGAGTGACTAAGTCTTTCTCTGATACAAAGTCTATCTCTTACATAGTTTTTATTTTACTATTTTTTTCTGCATTTTTTTTTTCTTGTTTTTGCTTAGTTTTGGGGTCCTCTGGACCACAGGTCCATCTTTCTTTTCAGCTTTTGAACTGTCAGTCTATACTGGTCTCTCTCTCAGACAGGCATGGCTTCCTCAAGTGCAAGTAAAACATCTTAAGGATCGTCCATGATTCAAAATTCTGGTTCAGAGGAGGATGCACATGCTCTGATGGATGAGAGGAAGAGGAAGAGAATGATATCAAACTTTGAATCAGCAAGGCGGTCTCGAATAAGAAAAAAGAAATATATGAATGATCTGCTTAGTTTAATGGATAATCTCAAGCATGAGAATCAGCAGATTTTCGAATCGATCCAATCCACTACCCAAAATTACTTGAATATTGAAGCTGAGAACTCAGTCCTGAAAGCTCAAATCAGTGACTTGAGTTTTAGGATTTCGGACATAAGAATGTTTGAAGTGTTTTTGAGTTTCAGAGGGGAAGACACACGTGCTTCTTTTGTTTCACATCTCTATGCCAATCTTCAAAATGCTGGAATTGTTGTGTTCAAGGATGATGAGTCACTTCGAAGGGGAGATCACATAGATTCTCTGTTGGAAGCAATTCGACAGTCTCAAATTTCTGTTGTTGTTTTCTCAAGAAATTATGCAGAGTCACAATGGTGTCTAAAAGAGTTGGAGAAAATAATTGAGTGTCACAGAACCATAGGGCAGATGGTAGTACCAGTGTTTTATGACGTTGATCCTTCTGAAGTACGTCATCAAACAGGCGAGTTTGGAAAATCATTTCAAAGCCTTTTGAACAGAGTTTCAATAGAGGAAGGTGAGAAGGAGCTTAGGGAGCGTGGTAAGGTGCAGTGTTGGAGGGAGGCACTTCGTGAAGCTGCTAGCATCTCAGGAATTGTAGTCCTAAATTCCAGGTACTTCCAGACTTGCTGCTTCCTTAAAATTTTCCATTAATCAAATATTTCCGATGGGGCTAGCACAACGGGGAGATTCTCAACAATGGATACGAATAAATTATACAAGAAAAGATGACATCACCATTAATCCAAAACCTTAAAGCATTAGGTTATGAATTTTTTTCATTTGTAAGTTATTCAACTTTTCCATTTCTAGACTTCAAATTCAGACTTGAATTCTCAACAAATTGACCAGCAGAGGTTGGGTTTATGTGAGGGAGTTATCAATAAGCCGGGATTCACCTATCAAATATGACTCCACCTTCACCTCAGTGCATGTTAGATAGCCAACTTTGAATTTAAGAGTAGACTTAATCCCCTCATATTACTTTATTGAAATAGAAAAAGATATAGGAAGTAAAAAATTTGAAATCCTAATAGATGTATCTTTTTGATGAGTAAAAAGTTTGAGAAATGATAGTATGTACAATTCACTGTCGGAACTTAATGGAGGAACACACTTCTCATACTATGTTTTCTCTTTGGATAAAATTCCCTGTACTTTTGATGCATATATGTGTACACCCTTTTTTGGTTAATGTTTTTGTTATAGGAATGAGAGTGAGGCTATCAAAAGCGTTGTTGAAAATGTTATACGTTTGTTAGACAAGACAGAGTTGTTCGTTGTTGATAATCCAGTGGGAGTAGAATCTCGAGTGCTAGACACGATTCAGCTGCTAGATCTCGAAAAATCAAATGATGTTCTACTGCTAGGAATGTGGGGAATGGGAGGCATTGGTAAAACAACCATTGCAAAAGCCATTTATAATAAGATTGGACGTAATTTTGAGGGAAGGAGCTTCCTTGCACATATTAGAGAAGCTTGGGGGAAAGACGGTGGCCAAGTCTGCTTACAAGAACAACTTTTGTTTGATATCAACAAAGAAACGAAAACAAAGATACAAAATGTTGAATTTGGAAAAAGTATATTAATGAAAAGACTCCGCCATAAAAGGGTACTTCTTATACTTGATGATGTGAATAACTTGCACCAGCTTAATGCTTTATGCGGAAGTCGTGCATGGTACGGTTCAGGAAGTAGAATAATCATCACAACCAGAGATATGCATATACTTAGAGGGAGTAGAGTTGACAAATTGTACATATTGGAAAGGATGGATGAAAGCGAATCTATTGAGCTTTTTAGTTGGCATGCATTCAAGCAAGCATGTCCTAGAGAAGATTTTCATGAACTTTCAACAAGTGTAATTGCATATTCTGGGGGATTGCCACTGGCTCTTGAAGTCCTTGGGTCCTATTTGCTTGACATGGAGGTAACAGAGTGGAAGAGTGTATTGGAGAAACTCAAGAAAATTCCAAATGATGAAGTACAGGAGAAGTTAAAAATAAGCTATGATGGTTTAAGTGATAATACTGAGAAAGAAATATTTCTTGATATAGCTTGCTTCTTTATTGGAATGGACCGAAATGATGTCATACATATATTAAATGGTTCTGGACTTTGTGCAGAAAATGGAATACGTGTCCTAGTCGAGCGAAGCCTTGTAACTGTAGATCATAAAAACAAGCTTGGAATGCATGATTTGTTACGAGACATGGGAAGAGAAATCATTCGTGGAAAATCACCGAAGGAGCCTGAAGAACGTAGCAGATTATGGTTTCATGAGGATGTGCTTGATGTACTATCACAACAATCTGTAAGACCTTCTTTTATTATTAAAATTTATTTGAACGCTTGATTGTACCATATACCTTTGAGCTATGCATAATTTGTCCTTTGCTCCTTTTTATTTCATAGGGAACAAAAGCTATCGAGGGATTGGCTTTGAATTTACCAAGAACTGATGGACAATGTTTGAATACTAAAGCTTTTAAGAATATGAAAAAGCTCAGGTTACTACAACTTGCTGGTGTAGATCTTATTGGAGATTATAAATATCTTTCCAAAAATCTGAGATGGCTTTGTTGGCATGAATTTCCTTTAACAGCCCTTCCTGCAAACTTCTATCAAGGAAGCCTAGTTTCCCTTGAGTTAGAAAACAGTTATGTTAAACGTGTTTGCAAAAAAGCCCAGGTATTAGTTTAGATTTTTGCATTTCATTTCATGAGCTGTTTTCACTTTTCTAGAGTGCAGTGTAATTTATTCATATAAATACTTCGCTTCCTACTTACAAGGTTTGTTATACATATCAATTGCTTGTATTTGTGTATCAAGATTCACTTCTAAGTTTTCTTTGTGGTATTTCATTACTTGCAGGTGATGGAGAACCTGAAAATTCTGAATCTAAGTCATTCTCATTATTTAACACATACTCCAGACTTTTCAAATTTGCCTAATCTTGAAAAGCTGGTACTCATAGATTGTCCAAGTCTGTCCGAGGTTTCATATACCATTGGACATCTCACCAAAGTTCTACTGATAAACTTTCAAGATTGTGTTAGCCTTTGTAACCTTCCACGAAGTATCTATAAGTTGAAATCTCTTAAAACACTCATTCTTTCTGGTTGTTTAAAGATTGATAAGTTGGAAGAGGACTTGGAACAGATGGAGTCTTTGACAACCCTTGTTGCTGATAAGACTGCAGTAACAACAATTCCCTTCTCCATTGTAAGATCAAAAAGCATTGGATATGTTTCTCTGTGTGGCTATGAAGGGTTCTTACGGGATATGGTTCCCTCTATCATTTGGTCTTGGATGTCGCCAACCAATAATAGTCTTTCATCCCTTGTTCAAAAATTTGGGGGCCTTTCGTCTCTTGTTTCTTTAGATGTGCCAAATAGCAGTTCCCACCATCTAGCATCTCTTTCCAAGGACCTTCCAAAACTTGAAAGTCTTTGGGTAGAGTGTGGTTCAGAACTTCAATTATCTCAACATACCAAAATTATTTTAGATGCTTTATATGTAACAAATTTAAGGGAATCAGAATCACCTGCAACCACATCACAAATGCCAAATATCAACGCTTTGGCATTAATTGAATGCAGCAGTCAAGTTCATGTATCAGGATCAAATCTGTTAATTCAAATGGGAATGAGTTCTGAGGTCTCCTCCAATCTAAAAGAAAGTATTTTACAGGTTTCTCTCTTTCTCTTACATTATCTTATTCTTACACTTTTTAAAAATATAAATAGTATTATATATCTTATAAGGTTTAAAAAATATTGCATTTTCTTGTTTTTAGTATATCAGTTAGATGTGATTATTTGATCATGTTTAATATTATTTGTTGGTATGAACTATTGAAAAATATAAAAAAAGGACCTCTTACACATATGTTACTTCAAAGGATCATATTTTCATCTTCAACTTTGCTAGGAAATACTTTTACTTTTGAAAAATACATTAACAAAAAGAAACTTGTTGAAAGGAACTTTTTTTTTTTAATGAGAAAATAAGTTATATATTTATTGGTTAAGTATAAGGTGGTGTTAATGTTTTTTACAGAATAATCAAGATTGTTTGCTCCCCCATGATTGTTATCCAGATTGGTTAGCCTTTAACAGCAAAGGCTCTTCTGTGAGTTTTGAAATCCCTCAAGTGAATGGATATAACTTGAAGACAATAATGTGTCATGTCCATTATTCTTCTCCTGACAGTATAACATCAGATGGCCTTAAAAACTTGTTGGTGATAAATCACACAAAGGCCACTATTCAGCTTTATAAAAGAAATGCATTAGCCTTGCTTGAAGATGAGGACTGGCAGAGGGTAGTATCAAATATAGAGCCTGGTAACAAAGTGGAGGTTGTTGTTGTTTTTGGAAACAGATTAACTGTGAACAAGACCACAATTTATCTCATTTATAAGCCAATGGGTGAAAAAAGTGGAGCACTGTCTTGCACCAAGCAATAATGTCATTTTTTAGTGGTGATGAAAATGTATGAGCTGTCAGGTCAATCTCTGCTCAAGTGGAATCCTCAAATGACATCATGGAAAAGATGACTTTATGGATCTATGGTGATTGCAAAAAACCTTGTAACTGAAGCTATTTTATGTAGTGAGTTGGGATCAATGGCTAGTAATGCTCTTGTTGATAAAGCATTGGGTGTTTTGGAAGGTTCATTTGGCTTGGGATCTTGGTTTTTGAGCAGTTCTACTTGAACTTGATTCTGAAGCGCTTGTTTTAATCCATATTCTTGAAAATCGATATATCAAATAAATAGTATGCTTGAACAAAATTGACATCTGGATCAGCCATGTTTTTAGAGAAATTATCAAACATACTGATAAATTTGGCTATCTCAATATGTTTTATGCCTCCTATTCCGGTAACGACGTCAACAATTTGCTAGTTAATATTCTTTTTCAGAGATCCTTCTTAGTGCCTGTCTGTCATTTAGATTTTCTTCTTTTGAAATTTATTCAAGTCATCTTAACCTAACATTTCTCTTTGTAAGATAACAATAAAAAAAAATGATTGTGCATTTTGGTTCCCGTAGTTATAATAATTTAGCATGATTGTTTAGAATAGGATGATAATTTGTAATTTTTTTTTTTTCTGAAATGCAGGGGACTTGAATCTTAAGTAAACTGGGACCAAAGTACTAAGAAGTTCTTCACATAGCCACTGTCCTGAATGTAGTGAAATGGGATTGAGTCAAATGTAGGTTTGTGTGATTATGTTATATAGTAGCTTTTAGAATGTTGAAATACTGTTAGCAATAAGCTATAATATCCAACATAAGGTGATGACTATGCAAAAAGCTATATACAGTTTTCATGGCTTTTCTAATGAACTTGGGATGATGAAACTTTTAGAAATTATTTTACCAAAAATATTTTAGTATTACCGGGGAAGAAGTGTCATAGCTTTCCGACAATAAAACTTGAATTAAGAAAAATATTAAGGACCCTAATAGAGCCAATAAAAAAAAAATTGTAATCCAGGTTTGTGTTAGAGTTTGATTCATCAACATGTATTTAACTTTGTGGTTGAAAGGAATTACATGAAACTAGTATAGAATAATTAGGATTTGGACTCATCTTGATAAAATTCATCATGTCATTTATTGCATGAAAAAATATATGGGATTAAGGTACTAAAATTGTCTAATTTAACAACCAATCTATTTTTTTACTTAATTTATTTTTTTACTTAATTTATTTTTTTACTTAATTTATTTTTAAATCTAACAAGAGGCACAATAAATATTTAAAGTTAAGGAAGTTAGTTAGATTGTTATTAAAATGCATGTAAATTAGGTTATAAACGACAATATTTTAAAAAATACTTGTCAAAATATTTTATAAAGTACAAATAAATGGGATCATACAAGGATGGTTACAAAAACTTTTGATAATGATTCTTTAATCATCATTTATATAATAATTGTTGAAAAAATTAAAAAAAATTATCATCGTATCTATACATATAAAATCAAGTAAAATACTAGTCAACCTCATTCGTAGGAATACAGCATCATCATCATGTCTACTATCAATTCTTTTTTAAATTTAAATACACATTTCCAACAATAATAATAGTAAAAACTATTGTTGTATGTTTTTTTTTTTTAATATATGTTATGTTTTATAGCTACCTAAAACATGCACTAAACAATTTTTTTTTTTAAATATATGAATTTTTTATACTAAAGTTGCTTAATTTGAGTTTGACAGGGAGAATAAATTACCTATGCATAGAAAGGGAAAAAAATACTAAAGTTTATTCATATCTAATATTAATTGTATTTGTAAAACTATATTTAATTGTAATAAATGATTTGCAACATATATTTTTCAATTTTGTATAATAAAGGGTAAGACTGTCCCTTAAACAAGTATAGGTCAAAGAAGTAGTTCCTATTATAACTAGAGACAATCCTACATAATAGTATAGAGCTTAAGATATTGTTGCTTGTCCTTATAATAAATAAGGTCACACTAATGCAAAATATCAACATTGTGTGTCATTTTACGAACTTGATATTTCTCCCCGATTAGATTCGAGTTTGAAATCATTTTTCGTCTACACTCGAGGTTAGTGTTCTATGTCATTGCTATATGTCTAAATTGAATCCGTGATTGTTTTTGGAGATCTCAATCATGTTATAGTATGAATGTCTCCACTGGATTGTTATTGAAATGTAATTATTTGTTTATTTGTTTGAGTGCATTTTCGGTTTACACACTCCATTGTTGTTGGAATGTGTTTTGTTATTTGTATATTAATTTCTTTTTACATATAATTTTTATATCTCTAGGAGTGACGAAACTTTATAATATAATATGAATCGAAATTGGATGAATGCACGTCGTATTAGTGAAGAGTACGAAAAGGGAGTTGAGGAATTTTTGAAATTTGCTAGTGAAAATGGAAAAGCTATGAAAGGGACATATTATTGTCCATGTGTTCGTTGTTTGAATCAAAATCGTCATAAACTTGAGCATATACGTGATCACTTGTTTGTTTATGGTATTATTAAGAGTTATACAATATGGACATGGCATGGAGAAATATTAGGCATCCCAACTGTGTCAACTACAGACAATTTTGATGAAGGGATGGATGATAATCTAGAGGATATGATACGTGATATTGGTGAAGAAAATTTTATGAAAGCACATCTATATGATTCTTTGAAATCTGATTTTGCGCAACAATTGTACATAGGATGTAGTTTTACAAGATTATCAGCAACTTTAAAATTGTTTACTTTAAAAGCAAGAAATGGATGGACTGATAAAAGTTTCACCGAATTATTGGAGTTGTTGAAGGAGATGCTTCCTGAAGATAATACATTACCTATTCGTAACTATGAGGCAAAGAAAATATTATGTCCAATGGGTTTAGAGTACAAGAAGATACATGTCTGTCCTAATGATTGTATATTGTACAGAAACGATTTTGCTAAATTAAAGATGTGTCCGACATGTGGTTTGTCGAGGTTCAAAAATAAAGTTGAGGAAAGTAGTGGTGAGGAAGAACTAGATGGTCCCCCTGCTAAGGTGTTATGGTATTTGCCAATTATACCTAGGTTTAAAAGATTATTTGCCATAAAAGAAGATGCAAGAAACTTGACATGGCATGCAAATGGTAGAAAATGTGACAATCTTCTTCGACATCCAGCTGATTCTCCACAATGGAAAAGGATTGATGAAACATTTCCAGAATTTGGTGCAGAGCCAAGAAACTTGAGAATTGGATTAGCTACAGATGGGATGAATCCTTATGGAAATTTAAGTAGTAAACATAGTTCATGGCCAGTTTTGTTGATCATTTACAATTTGCCTCCTTGGTTATGCATGAAGAGAAAATATATGATGTTATCTATGATGATTTCAGGACCTCGACAACCAGGAAATGACATAGATGTATATCTTAGTCCTTTAATTGATGATTTGAAGATGTTGTGGGAAACAGGAGTGGATGTATTTGATTCATATCACGAAGTGAATTTCAGAGTTGCGTGCAATGTTATTTTGTACTATAAATGATTTTCCAAGCATATGGTAATTTGAGCGGTTATAGTGTGAAAGGTCATTTAGCGTGTCCTTTATGTCAAGAAGACACAAGTTATATCCAATTGAAACATGGACAAAAAACTGCGTACAATAGGCATAGAAAGTTTCTAGTTACTAATCATCCATATCGTAAAATGAAAAAAGCATTTAATGGATGTCAGGAGAATGCAGTTGCATCAGTACCACGCAATGGTGAACAAGTATATGGGAAAGTGAAAAATATTAATATTGTGTTTGGAAAGACCCAAAAGAAATCCAATGAGAAAAACATTTGGAAGAAACAGTCTATATTCTTCAATCTTCCTTATTGGTGTAAGTTGGAAGTTAGACACTGTATAGATGTGATGCATGTTGAAAAAAATGTTTGTGATAGTATAATTGGGATATTGCTTAACATAAAAGGAAAGACAAAAGATGGAATAAAAGCAAGACAAGATTTGGCAGACATGGGTATACGTTCTGAATTACATCCACAATCATTTGGAAAACGCACTTACTTACCTCCAGTTTGTCATACTCTATTAAAGAAAGAAAAAAGAAGCTTTTGTGAGTGTTTACGTGAGGTCAAAGTGCCACAAGGATACTCCTCAAATGTTAAGAGTCTTGTGTCTATGCAAGAGTTGAAATTAGTTAGTTTAAAGTCTCATGATTGTCATGTGTTGATGCAACAACTTTTACCAGTGGCTATTCGAAACATCTTACCAACTTCTGTTAGAATTGTTATTACTCGGTTATGTTTGTTTTTCAACGCCATTTGTAAAAAGGTAATTGATCCAAAAAAGTTAGATGAATTAGAAAATGAAGCAATTGTAATAGTGTGCCAGTTAGAAATGTATTTTCCCCCTTCATTTTTTGATATCATGGTGCATTTGATAGTCCATTTGGTAAGGGAAATTCGGTTATGTGGTCCAATTTTTCTTAGATGGATGTATCATGTTGAGAGATACATGAAGATCTTAAAAGGATATGTGAAGAATCATTACAGGCCAGAAGCTTCTATTGTGGAAAGGTACATTGCAAAAGAAGCCATTGAGTTTTGTTTAGGATACATGTCAAAATCAGAACCAATAGGTATTCCTAAGATGAGACATGATGGAAGATGTGAAGGTAAGGGTACTCAAAATTTAAAGATTAAAAATGTTAGTTGGAAAGAAGTTGACCAAGCACATTTATACATATTGAACAACACTGATGAAGTAATCCCTTACATATCACAACACATAACTGAAATAAAGGCAACACATCCACGAATGAATGAAAAGTGGGTATTGAATGAACATAACAAAAGTTTCCTTTCTTGGTTTAAAAAAAGGGTATATGTTGAGATTAATGTTTCAGAAACACTTTTGAGACTTGCTCGTGGGCCTAATAGTGATGTCATTACATTTGGTGGGTATGACATTAATAATTATTGTTTCTACTCAAAAATAGAAGATGATAAAGGTAGAGTACAAAATAGTGGGGTCACAATTCAAGCTGAATCTATGCATTTTTCTAGTTCTAAAGACAAAAATCCTATCACAGCTTCTATGAGTTATTTTGGGGTCATACAAGAGATATGGGAAATTGATTATGTTACTTTTAGGGTGCCTGTCTTCAAGTGTAAATGGGTTGAAGGGAATACGGGTGTGCGAACATATGACCTAGGATTTACTTTGGTTGATTTGAGTAAAGTTGGGTATAAGGATGAACCTTTTATTTTGGCATATCAAGCGAGACAAATATTTTATGTCAAGGATCCATGTAATGAGAGATGGTCAATTGTCCTTGAAGGAAGAAGCATGCACGGAATTCATGAAGATGAGTCTCTAGATATACATGAAACACCTTTATTTTCAAGTAGACCATTTGATGACATAGTTGACAATGAAGTTGATGACATACATACAATTCAAGTGATCATGATGAAGGGATATGGGAAAACATACCAACATAATAGGTGTTTATCTTCACATTTTCTAGTTCTTTTTATTCAAACTTATAAAGTATGTTGACTTCATATTGTTTTGTTTTTCGGGATATGTCGGATTCCACATCCGGTACTTGGTAGTGGTAATGGCGAGTG